TTTTCTAATTGGTATGACTTATTTACAGCCATCAATGTTCACATGAACATATCTTCCAAGTTCACATTAGTTATTTGAAAGAGGATAGTACATGTTTTAAATACCAGAAATTTTGAAGATATGGATCAAATCATGGGTCACTTAATTTGTTGAACAGATCGATGCCTTTTCTACTCCTTATGACAGTTTACACTTTACAGCCATCAATGGTCACTTGAATATTTCCTCCAAATTCATATTATTGTTTAAAAGATTGACTAGCTCAAGTGAACTACTCCATTTGTAATCGTAAAGTCTCCAGGATTATAATTTGTCATTTAATCTTTGTAATCTTATTTCACAAGCATAATATATCTGTTTACGTATGTGATATTGAAGTCAAGTCTTTTGTACAGGATATTGAACAATGAACCAATAGATACGAAAGAAGGTATTTTAGACACTCCAACTGACAAACCCTTGGCTCGATATGAAGAGTTAGGCGACTTAGGGCATGGAACAAATGGAAGCCCTGTTTCATCCAGTAAGCAGTCAAACATTCTGACACCCTTTGGACAGAGAACCAACAAATTTGTGGTTCAGTACCATACCAAGACTGAGCCTATCACGGAAAAGGGAAACAAAGAAACTGAAGATGAAGATATGGGAGATGAATTTATTCGAAAGGCTCAACCAAAGAATAGGTGCTCTTTAGTGATTCATGGATCCAAGCCAGAACCTGGTTGCAGATTTATGTATGATAAAATTGAAGACAGGGTACTTAATGCTTCTTGTAGTGAAATGTATCATTATAAAACCTAAATACTTTATCAAGCTGAATTCATGTTTATTTGGTGATGCAGTTTATTTATCTTGTGAACCGCATCAAAAAGCATACATCATCATTTCTTGCTTCTGGACAATATGAAGAACCAACAGATCCTACAGTAGCCTCTCAGGTATTGTAGATTTTTAGATAGTTTCATGTATAATACGGTAGCTCCTTTACTTCTTTATCACACAGTCTTCCGAACACCTACTCATCTTATTGGATCATTTATCAGAAAAGCATGTTTGCTGTTGGAATGATCTGTTGTGACGGAGAAGGCCGTCTTAATGAAAAATCAGTCTTATTACAAAGCAGGTACTTTCATGTTCTCTTTATTGTCATACTAGTGCTTAAAAATTTTAATGAAGTGGTAAAGAGAATTTTCATATGCGACAATTCAAGCATTCAATTTTCTTGTGAGTTCATGTAACATTTTTCAGCCTGAGTACAATTTTAAATTCTAACTTTCTCCTTATAATTTGGCTGTTTTATCTTTGTGTCAGCATTGAGCATTCAGGAGGAGAACATGTACGCCTTGAATTAGAAAAAGTGAACCAATATTCCATTTTTCCAGGACAGGTATTGATGGAATATGTTATGACGTGTATTCTTAATATGTATTTTTGGATTTTCTGAATTGATGAAAATGTTTTTCAGGTGGTGGGCGTTGTTGGAACCAACCCCAGTGGGCACTGCTTAGTTGCTTCGAAATTAGTGGATGCTATTCCTCTGTTACCCTCCTCTGATATTAATCTTCATCCTGCAAAGAAATTAGCTCTGAATGAAGAGGGTCTTTCCAACTTTCAATCACCTGCACTGGCTGAACTATCAGTGGTAAGAAAATGTTGATTGGGCAATTCCAAGCTTGCAACAGAATACTATTGCTGTCTTTAAAATATCAGACCTTACATATGAAAAATGTGTGCTGCAATTTGTATTGGTATTATTTGCTTCTAACATCTTGCTTAGTTAAAAAAGAGCATGGAATACATTTACGATTATAATATATCGTAATACATAGAAAATTTATTATGCCTCAGTTGTGAAGTTCATGAGAAAATGAAGTTAGTAACTTATAAGTGATGGTTTACAAGGATAATCAGCCATCATCCCAAGATGTCATAAAATCCATATTTTATAAATTTAACTGAGTTAAAGCAAGGACTGAGATCATAATTGATATGAAATCAAGCAATGCCTGATGTCCCAACTTCCATACATTAATGCTTGCCTGCTTGGTTCTTAGAATTTACATGGGTTTGCTACAACCAAATACATCAAATCACTCTGTTGTGCTGCAAGCACCTTCAATAGTTTGCTTTCCTTAAAACCAAATTCTGGTAATTGTTGTGTGAGCATGATCTTAATGAGACCAGCTGAAAATTACCACATCTCTGAATTGAGTAAATTTCAAATGTTGCTATAGGAACGTGAAGAAAAATGTGAACTAATAGCTGTATGTGGTCACCATTTTGTCAATTTGGACATAAGATGTTATTCCATCTGGTGTATCATGTTCGATTATCAAGCTTGTTGGACTCTTATTCAGCCTTTTGCTTACTATATGGAATTTTATCAGATTGTGGCAGCAGGACCTTTCACCACGACAGACAACTTGTTATTCGAGCCTTTAAAAGAGCTTCTTGCATATGCAACTAGAAAGCAGCCACAGTTGCTTATATTGGTAAGAGCATTAGTTTCCATCAAAAAAATAAAGAGCATTAGTACTTATGTTCTGGTGGTTTCTTTAGAAGTTGAAAAATGTTTGTATGACATTGTTTGGCCTATTCATCAGTTGGGACCTTTTGTTGATTCTGAACACCCTGAGATCCAGAAACCAACCTTTAACCGGAGCTTTGATGAAGTATTTCAACATGAAATCATCACAAGGGTATTTTCCTCTGATGCCAGAATTTGTTGTTTCTGCAGCCAGAGGAGCTGAGCAATCATTATAAGCACTAATAATCAATGTGAGATCATTTTTTTCTTTTCAGTTGCGAGATCATGTTGAATACATGGGTTCTTCCACTCGTGTGCTTTTGGTGCCATCTACACGAGACGCTAACCATGATCATGTTTTCCCTCAGGTAAATTTCTATTGTACTTTATCACTTCGTACATTCATGATTAGGTGACTATTAACATTAATATTAATTCCTACATTGGCTTGCAGCCTCCTTTTGACTTGAACCCTGAGATGAAAGACCAGGTAAATAAAGATTCTCAGAACGTGTGCCATGAACTTCCCTTTTAACTCTGACATCAAATAGAACCTGAGTTCCTTTTTATTTATGCCAGATTATGTGTCTTGCCAATCCAGGAATATTTGATGCGAATGAGGTCAGTTTTAGCTGTCTGCTGTCTAATATTGCACATTTATTAAGTTTCTTGAAAAGAGTTCATACCTTGTGTCCTAAGCTTCATTGTGATGATGAGAAAAGTCTTGTCTTGCATTAATCTTTCTGGTTCTGTATTGCTGACCAAACTGGAGCCATGATGAGAAATGTCTTGTCTTGCATTTATCTTTCGTGTTATTGGTCGATTATCTTTCTATAATATTGAACTAGGGTCCAAGACTTGATATTAATTTATGTAACACACAATTCTGGATGATGGTTAATCAGTTAATGGTGTGATTTGCAGGTGAAGGTAGGATGCTGCTCTGTAGATGTCATAAAGCATCTGGGTGGAGAAGAGATATCCAAGAATCTGACATCAGGGTCCCGTTTGAGCAGATTGGCCACTCATATTATCAACCAACGCAGGCATGATATGGCCTCTCTTTGCTGGAAGAATTTTTACTTAATTTATTTTGTGTTCTCAAATAGTCAGAATGGATGTTTCATGTTTCCTTATTATTTTTTTCTTTGTATAACAGCTTCTACCCTTTATATCCACCAGCTGAGAGTGTTCCGTTAGACTTCTCTATTGCTCCTGAAGCTTTAGATCTTTCTTCAATCCCACATATGCTCATTCTACCGTCTGATTTGGCTCCTTTTGTAAAGGTAATAACTAAAGAAACAGCTTTTTTCTTGCTTCCATGCCCAAGTTTCATGTGCAAGTGCAGGTTTTTCATTTCTTGCTCATTTTTTGGTTCCTTCATTACTTGACTGGGAGTAAGATTGGATTCTGGAAGGGTCTTTCGATAGGATATTCCAGGGGGTATATATCCCCAAATTTCTTGTTTGAGTTCAATGAAAATGTAATCTACTCAAAATCCTTTTTGTAAAAACACAGGTGCTTTCGCTCAATGAAGAAGTTAAAGAACAGGAGCATGTCAAATGCCTATGTGTGAATCCTGGTAGACTGGCCAAGGGTATAGGAGGTGGTACATTTGTAGAAATTTACTACAATGGAATTCCAGAGACAGCATACGGTTCAATCATCCGCATATAGATCTCCCAATGTAGAAGTTAAAAACAGAGGTATAACCCCAGTCGATTGGACTGGACACGAAAAAAAAATTGGTACTGGATTTGGACTTGAAATTCGAGTCCAATTCTCAAATTTCAGTCTATGTATATACTGCTCCATTTTTATTTATTATTTTGGGTTAGGAATTAGCTTATACATGTACTTTGTATGGTACTAATGTATCTTTCTGTACTATCATTTAGAAACAAGAACCTTTAATTGTATGTTTCAATCATAATATGCTTTTATAAATTATGAGACAAATACAGTTCCTTAAAACCTTCTGACTTCATTATTGTCTTCCTATATATCATTAATGAATTCTTTTAAAACCTAGGCTTCTTCTACCTTTTTTTTTTTTTGAGGGAATAGGCTTCTTCTACCTGTAATGTAAAAAAATTAATTAATTAATTAATAATAAAAACTTTTTTTGTGTGGTTTATTTGTTAAAAAAGAAAATTACATGGGAAGGTTAGGGTAGTCTTTTCTCAATAATGTATAAATGTAAACAATGAAAATATTTTGGATTATATAAGTTGCAGAGTTATTCATACTGTACATTAACGAACCAAAGAAAAACTAACGATATTTAATCATCTGTTTAAAATATTTACAGATTCATTAATACAACCCAGAAAGTACAATCACACTAGTCAACACTAACCAATTATTGGTAAATTATACACACTTGCTAATAAACTAGAATACACTATAAATAACATTTTGTCAAAAAAAAACAAAATACACCACAAATAATACCAGTAGATTATATCATTCATCATTTCAACTTCTCTTTCTTGCACAAACTTTCTTTGTAAAACTCAATCCAATGATTCAAAATCCACAACAAGCTACCCATGATACCAGACACAGTCAACAACATCCAAGAACACCAAACCCATCTTGGAATCACGCTATTCGTCGCGCCACTAGCATACACAAAACCCATCTTGATCACAAACAGAGGTGCAAACACACCTCTAACAGCAGTATAGAATGTGTAAAACCTTGGTGACAAGTAATCATACACCTGTTTCGCTACACGAAAATCGGCCTTTCGTAACCTTGCCAATGACCATACATTCTGCACTGGACTAGTTACCTCAGCAAGAACCAGGATTACTAATATAGCAAAAGCCCCATGATTAGCCACAAACCTACAAGTAAGAAGACCAAATAGACTAGCCAAATGATGAGCAATAAAAAGCACATTTTTTGGGTTAAAAACAAAGTAATGAATAAGATCCATTATAAAATAACTTGAGCTAAATTCAAGCACTAAATTTTGAAATGGGGTGTTTTTTGATACAAAAATTGTTGATGGGATTTCTTGGTTATTTGTATTTTTAACCAAAAACAATGCAAAAACTGCTAAAATAACTGATGGGGTTCCATGAGATAATGATAAGAAGCAACTACATGCATCATAACGGTGCTTTGGACCCCAATTTTGAAAGATTTTGTGTGCAAAAACATAGATTGATGTAAAAAAAAGCAAGAATTGAGGAAGTTTAAGGTCATAACAAGAGGATAATTGAGCTGTAATATCCATGATAATAATGCAAACTAATTAAAAATTAAAGCTTGAATAATTTGACAAGAGAAATAATGAACAAAATTTTTTATAGATGATAAAAAATTGGTATAATATAATGATTAGATAATGAATAAATGGAACTGCTATGATATATTTTGACTTTTGGGGGTTTAAGTTAGCTTATTATAATTGGTAAAGGTCGAATAAATATGAAATTAGATGTGACAATGAATTGTAAAATTTTATAAGGGTGCGCATAAAAAGTCAGATTCCTGAGAATCATTTTATGATAAAATCAAAGAGTCCTCCTTTCTTCAATAAATAAATAAATAAATAAAAAATAAAGAATAAAAAAAATCAAAGAGTCCTTGGTTGTTTTCATACTGTGATTGCGTCAAGTAAACACCTTTAGATTTGCAAATTGCAATCACTTTCATTTTGTATTTTTAAAATTTTTGTGATGGTTTTTTTTATTAAGGGGATATTCCCTTCTTGTTTGTCTTCAGCCACATAATTAAGAAAAATATTATCCGAGTCGGAGATGTTCGATTATTGAAGGAGATGTTTTACATAACACCAAAGTACAGAGATAGCTACATTTACCTATCAGGCTAATCAAGGGGGTTATCTATCGGGTACCAGTGGAACTTCGCTATCTATCAAATTCTATTACAGATGGATTATATACACAGCGGCCATTGGGTAGACTAACAGTCTTCAACTTGTGGATTGGGAATTTGGGATGCCCTATTTCCATTTGTTACAAAAATGCATAAAGATATATGGCAAGTTTTATTGTGCATCAAATCCTAACCATTCACAAATATCATTCACATTCAAACAACACAGTTCTTTCATTCTTTGTATTTTTAACATACATAAAGACTTTATTATACTTGTCTAAAGGTTTAATCACTCATCATCATCAAACAATACAGTGGAAAGCTGTCAATTAGCTCTTCAACACCAATATCAAATACATGTATACTATTACTAGGGGGTAAGTGATAACATCTGCAGCCAAAAAAATTAAAAAAATCACTGTTTTTGCCTTATTACTAGCCTTGTTCACCTATCAACTGAACTTCAATCATCGTCCGTAACACCTGGGTCATTTATTCATCTGATCATCAGGACGAATATGATCCTGATAACATCGCAGATTGCAATGGACGAAGTTAATTCAATTCAGGCTAGAGCATTATAAAGTATACGGGTACTAACGAGAGTTCTGAAAACGCCTTCTGCCTCGATGCTGGGATCACTAAGCACTTTACATAACCATTCCTCCATCTATTGTTACCACCTGTATGACAGATAAACCCCAAAAATATAAGAGCAAACTTGGAAGTTTAATCAAAGGCTAAAGACAAGGCGCAAATAAATTGCAACTGATACAAAGAAATGTACTTCATACATATTATAGAGCAGGAAGTTATTAGGGGAAACTCTTTAGAAACAAACAGGGAAACAGAAGATCCACAAACCTGTCCAGTTATATAACTGGCTGCCGGATCAAGGGCTAAAAACTCCACTAGTCCAGCAACTTCTTCTGGTTGACCATACCTCCCTGAACCCACAAACAAGATGTATATAAATCGCACAGGGTTTCTTCACCATACTAAATTTAATTTCAATCGTGAATTGATAATTATTTGACGGCAATACTGCAATTAATTCAGGGAAGCCTTCATAACAGCTTTGAATGTTTTAACAGTATATACTGCAAGACACTAGAGATAAGGGGACATGCCAGGCCAGAATATTAATGCAATTTCGCATCCAAATACATGGATCAGCTTAGAGGCATATATACAGATCAAGAAATTTTGAATAATGGTTGGCACAGTAATAGTAAAAGTAACATCTTTGAACAAAAAGACACAGAGGACTTTCAAAAGAAACTTAAGAAAAAGATTATCAAGTTTTGAGAAACTTTGAAAGAAAAAGCCAGCCTAACCTAGTACTTTGTAACGAACCACTAACAATAACAGCTACTATTAATTAGCTAGAAAAGGAAGAAATAAAATTGAGGGAACAAAGGTGGGATTTTTCTTTCACTCAAGCAAGTTTCTTACAGGGGCAGCTTGAGGCTGCTACTCTCCTAAGGGTGACTTGAGGCCACGAGTCTCTAGGATTTCCTTACATAATAATCAGCTACCTAGCCCTACCCCTCTCTTCCCCTTTTTATATGTACACTCAGCCAATGGCTGTCAAAAAAAAGATCCCACCTAACCATTTGTCTGATATGCACCATTTGGCTGCTGTATGGCTGCATAGGACAGCTGCCCTGTTGCTTGTGCTGCTCCACTACCCTTGTCCTTCAAGGCTCCCTTTGCTCGTCTGGTATATGTGATTAGCCCACGTGGTGGCTGATCATTGGCTGGTGCACTTGTGATCGTTGTAAGAATTTAACAAAGTGTTTCCCACTACATGGAAAGCCAAAATCTTTCTTTCCTTTTTTTATTTAAGAAAATTTCAAATTCTGATAGAAAAATTTAGTAAGTTGGTTGTTTCTCTTTTTTCAGATCAAGGGGAAAACAAACAGTAACCCTCCACAATACAGGAAAACACAAAGAGAGCACCCATGTTCATGTCTTGTCATTGTACATCTGAAGAAAAAACTTTTGGAAAGCCGATAGTCTAGAGAGAGATACTAGGTACATTTTCCAGTAAAGCTTAAAACTCAACACCAAATTGTGGAATCATTTATCAACCCTTTCCAAACCTTAAAGTTTCTTATCACAGCTATTCATAAAATCTTGATTCACATTAAGACCCTATATTTCCAGACAAGGATGTTGACTTGAAGTTCCTTGTAGAAATTTTTACGAGTATAAAAAGAGAGTACAAACCACACCGCTAAAATAGATGAATAAGCTTGTTTCGAAATTGAATGAAGAACATGCTACTAGATTAGCAAGCTCTGCCAACTCCCACCCTTAAAGATACCTTCTGATGGAACTATGAGAGTTCCAATTGACAATTTCACCAGTTTAACCGCAAATGTTTGACATTGTCTCACTGAATACTGACGAAAGACAATACATGAAAGAAAAATGGTGGATGACCTAACCTAATGGGCACCTTGTCAAAGATCTTTCCCAAAAATCAATAAGATCATCTATGATCCAATATATCCATATAGCTTACCAGAGTAAAGAATATATATCTCCCCAACCCAAAGTATTTGTAGCTAATTGCAATTCTCTCCATAGTCAAAGCAAGGATGTTATGCTTGCTGCTGACTTGTTGAAGTAAGAGATGAAGGTATATTTTTATGATCAGAAATTGAATTGATCATATCATAAAAAGTACTAGACCAAAATGTAGGATACTTTTCAGAGAATAAAGATCTCAACTTCCAACAAAAAGAAGCAAGTATAAGGATCTCATCAAACTTCTCATACCAAGAATAAAGTTTCCATTTTGTATATGCTTCTTAGAACTTTAAAATACTCCTTGTTACCTATCTTGAAATAATATCATAGCAAAGAATAGCATAAAGATGAGACTGGAGATATAAACATTCAAAGACTTGTGCAAATTGCATGAATGATTGGTCTCTTCGAATCTTTTGGAGACAAGGTCCTTGACTTGTCTAATGAAAATTAAATCAGACAAAAAAAGCGTCATCCAACATGGTTGGCAAGAAAAATCTAGAACAGTGGATACCCAAGTTAACGATAGTTTTCTACATAATCATCAGGCAAAGATAAGAGAATGTTTCTTGGAAAGTAAAAACAAGATAACATATTACGATGTCAGGCAACAAGAGGGGAAATGTGGGGGGGGGGGGGGGGCTGTAAAGAAAATCATGTAGTAAATGTTTTGCAAAATATCACATAGTATATGTTTTGCAATACCTAACGGGATGGCAGCCATGAGTTTTTTCTCAATATCTTCCCCGAGATTTGAAGTCATGTCTGATGCAATGAACCCTGGTGCTATAGCATTAACCTGCAATAACAGAAGTACAACAAAAATTTGAGATTTCACTAAACCACTAACTGCCAAAGAAAGTATCAACTAACAGTTTCAAAAACTACTATGAAAAATATACATTGATTCCCCTGCTTGCATATTCCTTTGCGACTGACTTAGTGAGGCCAATTACTCCGGCTTTCGCAGCACTGTAATTGGCCTGTCCTGCATTTCCTATCAAGCCAACGACAGAGGTTATATTGATTATCCTGCCCTGTGAAACAAGCAGTAAACTTTAATTGGGAAACATGCAGAAATCCTGATCAGGAAAAGAGGTGAAAGAAGTCAGGTACGTTATGATACCTTCTTCTTTTTCATCATAATTTTTGCTGCAGCCTGCAAAGACACGCAGACATGAATAAATTGAAAGTTTTCAAGCATAGACATGAGAAAAGTCAAAACTCATTAGATTTACAGGCTACCTGTGTACAGAGAAAAACACCAGTAAGATTCAGATCAATGACATCCTGCCACTGAGATCTCTTCATTCTCATCAGAAGACCATCCCTTGTAATTCCTGAAAGTACCAAAAATTTGTTAAGAGGAGCAAATATAAGTTTAGTGTAAATTTGACCTGGCGTATGCAAATGAACATCAGTACCTGCATTGTTTACTAAGATGTCAACAGTTCCCCAAGCATCAGTCGCCTGTATGTAGAACATAAAGAACAGTAATTAAGTAATATAGAGTAGATGACTAGATGATTACTCAAAAGGGAAGGAAACAACAGAGGGGGAAGACAGAGAAGTGACAAGAGCAAAATAAACTCACAGCTTTTATCATGGACTCCACGTCTGATTCTTGGGATACATCACCTCCAAAAGTAATAGCTTGCCCACCACAAGCCTCAATCTAGGAATAGTTTAGGATTCAATAATAAGTTTGTAAAGCATTATAAGGCAAAATATCATTAACTAAATGCCACCAATAGGCACAGAACAATAACACAGTAAACAAGAAAGCCCTCCAACAGCAAGGTTTTTATTGTGGAACAATCAATAGTACAGTAACAGATTCTTCACTTTTTGATTACCTTTATTCCATTAAATAGGTTATCTAAGTTTTGAGCATTGAAAACCACTGTAATCAGATTGAGATGACCACAAAACATTTATTTGTTCAGACTACTGATTACATATAGACAAAATATGTAAGAACCGACCATAGGAGGGTTATCGGAAATGCAGATTATATCAGTTATGAAGCTTGAGGAAGGCAGGAAATAATTTAAAGGGAAATGGTAATCAAGAAGTCGATATTAAATTATAAAGAAAGAGGAGGCATTATAGACCCTTATCTAGCAGTAGAGAGAGTAAATTAACCATAGTGTAAGACACTTATGAATATAAATCACAAAAAAGAACAACTTCTTCCATGAAAGTATGCTGAAAAATCTATAAAACAAATGTACCTCATTCGCGACTAGTTCAGCTTCCTTTGATGACCTTGCATAATTAACCAGGACCTGTAACACAGAAAAGTATGATGATCATTGAAAGAAAAAAAGAGCAACAGGGTATACATACATTAAGAAGAATGAAATGCAAGTACCTTGCAACCAGCTTTGCCCAAGGCTAGTGCAGTTGCTTTACCAATACCCCTAGATGCTCCAGTCACAATAGCAACAGGAGCTTCTACATTTTGTACCATTTCAATATTTGGTTGTTTTACTGTGGCAACTTGAGCTCTTACACCTACTAGAAGGATCGATCATATGTTAGATTATACTATAACTATCAACTTATATGTAATGTATAACAATTTCAAATTATACGTTTAATTATATGATTATGACCTGTATAACAATTTCAAATCAAACTAAAATCATGAGTTAGATCATAAACAACACAGAAGAAAGAATCAACCTCAACAGAAAAAACCCAAATCCTAAAAAGAAGAATTAATCTTACAAAAAGCAACAACAATTGAAGAAATCAATTACCTGAAGAAGTAAAAGAACGGAGTGATCTACATTGATAACCCAGACAATTATTAAGCTGGGAAGATTCCAATTTACGAGAAATGGGGTTGCATTGTCTGAAAAGAGAGATCTTTTGGTCGCAGGAAGAGCTCAATGAATTGAAAACAGCTCCAGAAATGGTGGCCATTTCTTTCTCCAATGCACACAAAGTGTTCGACGAAATTGCTGAAAGAAAATGGGTAGATATTTCAGAAATGTAGTAATAGCAGGGCTTTGGAAGCTCCGAAGAGGTAGTTAAAGTGTGACGATGGATACGATGTTTAACTGTAAATTTTCCCGGGTTTGGTCATCGACTTTTATGATGAGTAGGTGGCGGCCTCGATTCTCCCTTCCGTATTTTAATAAGTGTTACACTTATTTTACGCGACCATATTTTAATAGTGTTTCCCTTTCCATGCGATATGATACTTGAAATATTTTACATTGGTTTTTCATTGATTGCGATTATGTTGAGCTTCACTCTAGTAGGAATACTTGGTTTCGGCGTCTTTTACTTCCTCTTTTGGTTAATCAAATTTGTTGCAGGCTATATAGGTTTTTAATTTATGAATTGTTTTAAAATATTCTATAAACCAATGTATCAAAATAAACCATGAAATATATAAAGTTTTTTTTTTCTTTTATTTGCGTCAAATACTCTATTGTGCATTATTTATTATTAGTAGTAGATACATGATTGTTACAATAATAATAATAGGATGGTAAAGCTTTAGCATATGTGAATACCTAGTTACGTACTCCGGCCTCCACGACAAGCAGGGCAGCCTTTAGCAGCTCCACCTAATAAAGGCCTCGATCTCAGCGTGCACGACAGCGAGCGTTATGAGCAGCTAGCAACATCAACTCGATCCGTGTATGTTCATTGTCATTTTCGAGGTAATGCAAAACAGGTATTATGCGGGGTTTAAAAATAGAAATTTAATTGAAAAAAAAAAACATGAAAAGTAGTATGTAGTAGGGTTGGCTAGGTATTTGAGTGAACATATTCTAAAATTTATATGAATCATACTAATGTTCAACATATTTGGTTCTTAGTATTACCCCTGTTTCTTTTGCTTGCAAGTTGTAACAAGGGTGCATTATTTATGGGATACAAAAAATTTCTTATTAGTTGCAAATAATAAAAAAAATAGAGTTAGTTTCAAACTTAAATTTTTTGTTGTAAGTAAAACCTACATAAAGTCTTTATTCATAGGAAAAAAATATTTTATCATGATGTTTGTTATTAGTTTGCCTTTTTCACTGGATTGAAACCCTCAATTTGGAAAAATTAAAAATAAATTAGAAATGAGAATAACTTAAAATTTTATTTTATTTTTTAAGGGATCGTAAAATATTACTGAAAAATGTTTGTTTGTAAATACAGTATTTACATTGTCATTTCCTAATTTATCCATTGATCATTATTGTGAGCCTTTATTTGTGTGTATATACAACGATGAATGATTAATTTGTTAATTTTAGTGATTCCGTTATTAATCATTAAGTTAAACTATAAATTAATGTGTTGATTTGTAAATCGTGCATCGCACGGGAACTATGCTAGTTATATATAAATAAATAATATAGATTACGGCTAGATATTTAGAATTTGTAAAATATATATATTCAAAAACTAAAAATGCCCCTACATATAAAAAATAGGAAAAATTGAAAAGAACAATCCCACCTTTCCAGGGGCGGAACCAGGAATTTTATTTAACGGGGGCCAAAGTAAAGGGAACTACGATGACGATAAAAATAATGAACATTTTCACACATCAATTTATTAATCCACATATCACAACAACAAAAATATATTTTATATAAGCAATGAATATAGAGTTATAGAACATATTCCAAAAAAATTACCATAGTACTACATGAAGAAAAACATACCTTATCATTTATCTTATATCATTTTAGTTGTGCTCGTCTCTCTTTCATCATATAAAAAGCATCAATGATGGCATCTTCACTAAGTGTTTCCGCTATCTCCTTTTCTATATACACTATTAAGTAGTCCTTCAAAAAATCGTCCTCCATCTTACTTCGAAGGTTTGTTTTCACTATCTTCATGGCTGAAAAAGCTCTCTCAGTTGTTGCAGTAGATGCTGGAAGAGTTAATACGAGACGAATTAACCTTGAAACAAGAGGATAATCTTTTATTTTTTCTGTAGTCACTAATCCTTGACATAAATCACCAAGAGTAGTTAAGTTCTTCAACACTGGATGAATAGGAATATCAAGCCAATAATGTTGCAATTCATAACTCAAATGATCTTTCTCATGTTTTGTGAAATCAATAGGATAAAAATCTCGAGCTAGCTTGCAAATATGCTCTATATTGAATGACTTGTAACCATCTCTTGGATTCAAGGCCACACTTAAAATGAGAAGTTTAGTAGCTCGCTCACTAAATCTTGCGTTTAGCTCTTGCAATTGACGATCTATAGCAACCATAAATATATCAACTCTATAGTGATGTTCCATTGTCACATTGTCTTTTTTTCTTGATTGTTGCCTTATAGATTTAAGCACATCAACATAAGGAGAGTCCATGTCGGGAACTGTAACACCATTTTTCTCACAAAAAACTTTAACATTATGTAGCAAACTCTCCCACCCATCATTCCTTAAAGTTTGAAGTAATGTCTTTGTAGTGCAAACTAAATGCATTGCATTTACAATATCTTGGGTCTTCAATTGTAGTGCTTGACAAAGTCCATCGGTGATGGCCATAATCTCCTTCACAACATGTATGTTAAATACGAATTCAAATGACATTAACAACTTAACTCCATTAAGAGCATCTCCTCTCTGAGCATAAGTTGTTCCTTCACTAGCTATGTTAGCAAGAACTAAGCGAGTAGCACAATACATTCTTAACAAACTAGATATTGACTTGTAATGCGAGCTCCATCTAGTATCACCTGGTCGTTGTAATGTACCGATTTGATTGAGACCTTTTCCCGTCTCAAGCCCCTCAATCTCAACTAGATGTTCAATTTCAGCCAATTGAGTTGCTTGTAACTCGTCATGTCGCTTTGAAGAGCTAGTGACCACATTAACAACAAAAATTAATTGTTGAAAGAAAGTATGAATCTGTGGCACTTCCCTAGATGCAGCAACAAGAGCTAGTTGTAGTTGATGTGCCAAACAATGAATGTAATAGGCATAAGGACACTCCTTCATAAATAAAGCTTGAAACCTATTCCACTCTCCGCGCATATTACTTGCACCGTCATACCCTTGACCTCTAATATTTTGAAGGTTAAGGTTATGATGAGACAAGACAGCACAAATTTCCCTTTTTAATGTTTTTGATGTAGTGTCTTTGACATGGACCAAATCCAAAAATCGCTCTCTTACCAATCCACTTCTATCAACATATCTCACTACTAATGCCATTTGTTCTTTCTTAGAAATGTCCCTAGACTCATCAACAATCAAACAAAACTTTGCATCACCAATTTCCTCACGTATACTATTTTGCACTTTTCTTGCATAAACATGTAGAATCTCCTTTTGGATTAGTGGAGAAGTGTATTTGGCATTCTTTGGGGCATTATCCAAAATAACCGAATCAACATCTTTATTATATGATGCTAAAAGTTTTAGCATCTCCAAGAAGTTCCCTTGATTAATTGAACTAGAACGTTCATCATGCCCTCTAAATGCACAAGCTTGGAAAGTTAACCATTTAACAGCATCTATTGATGTCTTAAGGCGTAAACGATTCTTGACAATCTCCTCTGCAGTTACTTTCTCTACTACTTTCTCAATGTGAGCGGATTGATTTTTGAGATTAAAATAACACTTTGTTGAAAAGTTATGAGCAGAATTGGAATCTTTCCCCATGTGACACAAAAATGCACAATCCTTCCCATTATTTACTTTCTTCCAATTTTTAAAGCCCTTCACGGTGAATGTATCCGAACCACATCTTCCAAGAGGCTTTTTAGCAAAAAGAAAGCAATAGAAACAATAAGCAGCATCCATTGTGGGAGAATACTCTAACCAAGGAAACTTCACAAACCAACTTTTTTGGAACCTACGTGGGTGTTTTTCGGAACCAGAGTATGGATAATTATCAAGTTTAGGTTGATATGGCCCAAAATCAATGTAAGATCTCCTAATCAAATCTTTTTCATCTGAATCATATGTCTCAATTTGCTTACGCAACCCAGGATCACGCATTAAAAAATCAAGACCAATACCTTCTTCATTAGGCATTTGCTCATCAACATTGTCATTATTAATATTACGTTCGACTTCTTCATTATCAATGATAATTGGCTGATTTGGCTCAACAACAGGTATATCTTCATCACCCCTGCCCTTTTTTTGTGGAAGAAAATAAGAAGTGATAGTCCTCTTTGTCATTCCTAAATTACAAAAATTAACAGTAAAAAAAGCATAATCAAATCTAATGATTATTGGGCAATATATCAAGTATAATTGCAATTGTATTAATTATTCTAATTATTCACAAATTTCATATAATTGTTTGGATTTACACATTTACTGATTTACATATACAATTAGAGTATTAAACCCCAAAATTTCTAATTCAAAATCTCACTCTAACTATTTATTCAACACACTAAACCTGTAATTAATATGAAAATTGAAGTAAACAAACAAGATTAAGTAGAAATTGATAATTAAATTACCTGAATTAAGGAAAATCAACAACAGCAAGCAAGAAACTTCAATGGTGATATGTACTGTTTGTTTCGTCACTTTGGGGGTTTTCACTGCTTTCCTTTTGTAATTTTGTGTTGAAGTGAATTGTAATGTTTGCAAGTTGTTATTTTTTTATTAGATAATTCTTTTATCTTTTATTTTTATTTAGTTGCAATATTTATATTTTGTCTTATCTAACAATATAATATAGTAGAATCTAGAAATATCAAGTACCAAACTCATCACATGCGTTAATATTAGTACATAAAGTGTGAGTTTGGTTTTGTATTAATTTTTTTTTATTTGTTTGGCGGGGGCCACATGAATTTTTTATACTTTTACTTGTACTAAAATCCAAATATTACCAATGTAAAGCAATTCACTTGAGGGGGCCTTGGCCCCCTTTGGCCCCTACTATCTTCCGCCCCTGCACCTTTCGCCCATCTGCTCAAAATAATCCCACCTTGTCGAATTCCAGAAATAATCCCACCTTGTAACTCCATCTTCCCAAAATGAACCTTTTACCGGTTTATGAAATTAGTAACCTGTTTTAGAAGGTGACTTAACACTTGTCACCTTCTAATTGGTCCTAATTTTAAATAATTAAAAAAAATAAAACAATTAAAAAAAAAAAAAAAAAAAAACTCCCAGCCCCACGACCACCCTGTTCATCGCCACCATTACAACCCCCTGCCGCCACCTCTTTATCACCACCATCACAACCCCCTGACGCCGGAAAAGCTAGACCAACCGTACCGCCGGTAGAACAGCCGAACCAGCCACCTTTCTTGATTCCATCCCCTTCTCCGATTCCTTCCCCTTCTCCGTTCCCCCTTCCACTTCCCCTTCTCATATTCCCTTCCCTTCTCCTTCCACTTCCCCTTCCCCGATTCCCATGGCAGCATTGTGTGAAGTAATTCGTCATCGGGCCCATGGCAGCGTTGATCGAGCTGAGTTCTGGCCGGACATGGACATGGTTGCCGAGAAACTCCAATTCGAACAAAGTTTCTAATTCAGGTGGGTTTCGATTAGAAGATTAAGAGGGGAATTGGACATGGCAGCCCCTTCTCTGACAATTTGGGGTGGGGATTAAACCTCGGAGCTTGACAAAACGGAATCAATGGCGGTTGAAATCTTGGGTTAGGTGGGCTTGGCTCAGGTGGCGGGGCAGCGCTGCATCTTAGGTGGACGTGGCTCAGGTGGCTGGGCTGGGCTTGCATCGTGGGATGGTGGTGATGGTGGGAACTGGGAAGGTGGTTAGTTTAGTGGTGAATTGGTGATGGTCATGGTGGTTAAATGAAAAGGGGGAGGTGGAAAATGGTGGGGGATAGGCGGTGCCAATGGTGGGGTGGGGTGGGTTAGGGGGTTTGGGATTTTTTCTTTTTGTTTCTTTTTTTTTTTCCTTTTTCCTTTGTTTTATTTATTAAAAAAAACAAAACAAAAAATTTACATGTTTAAACAGTTGTAGGTAAAAAGGTTCATTTTGAGCAGATGGGGTGTTAAGGTGGGATTATTTCTGGAATTCGAAAAGGTGGGATTATTTTGAGCAGATGAGCGAAAGGTGGAATTATTCTTTTTAATTTTTCCTAAAAAATAAACTAGTGGAAAACCTGGGCATTGCACCAGGTTACTACTATATGTCTTTATTTGTAGTATAAACTATAATATCATTTACTATGCAAAGATAAAAGTATAATTGACTCTTATAATCTTATTCTTCTAAGAGGTCAAGTGCTCGAACCTTCTTATATACCGGACTAAATTTATAACATTTTTATAACATTTTTATACGAATTCTCGGCGTTATTTTTTAGTGAAGTGATGATATGATATGTTAGATTTGAGTTATGCTTAATTAATTTTTTTTTATACAAATTGAAATCTAAATCAAGTTTTATTCAGATTAATTTTTAACACCTCACCACTGTGCGAAACCCTAATCCTATCATAACACTAATCAAATATCGTAATATATACCGTACCCCAAACAAAGCTTATCGTTGAAATTGAAAAAATTAAAAATAAGATAAACAGGGTCTAGTGTGAAGCTGAAAAAGGCAAGGTAGAAGAATGATAGAATCTGGTATAGCGCCAACGCCGACGCCGATGCAAGAAGGAACGACATTTGAGGATGTAGACAATATGTAGTTGCCTCCGTAACATTGAAGGGTGTTGTTAGCGACACATGGAAAATAGTACGTTTCATATTAGCAATAACATTTTTCTTTGGTTGTATATTGGTTGCTGCTATAGTTGGCATCTCTCTAGTGATAGGAGTTATTGCGGCCATCATATCTTTCATCACTTGGTTTACGAACCTTGTTCAACAACACCATCTCATGTCCTCTCTTTAGTAGGATCCTAATCAACTCGATCCATGTTTGTTTTCAGTTTTCAATATATTATATTAGATAGAAACCATGACCGTTCAAAAAAAAAAAAAAAGATAGAAACCATGAAATAACGTTTTTGTTTGTTTTTTGGATTTTACATTTAGTATTGAATATTGATTACATTCTTTATAAACCAATGCTTGTTTCTGAATGTTTCATATAGGTTGCCATAACATTGATTTGGCCTCCGTTGTAGAGAATGGCTTAGATTTTGATTACGAGTTTTACTCTTTTATCTTTTTTTATCTATGTTTGAATGTGTGATATCTTCTATATACGAAGTAATGATGTGTACATAATTTAACCTAAATTGTTAATCAAACTAACTTATTATGGTTATACACACATTTGAGAAAATACAAGTTTATCAGTATTTGGTGGGTTGGACTGTGGGTGTTGGGAATATGGGATCATGGCTTGCTGTGGTGCTGTAATTTGTATGGGAGGCATGAAGAAAATGAGGGTTGTGAGAATCATGTAAACTATTGTAGTACCCCCTCAATGTATTTTGCTCAATTCTCATTGTACAATCGAGTTTCATACTCTCACTAGCTAACGATTCCCTCTATTGGCTCTATATTAAATTATTAAGGATCATTAGATTCTGTCCAAAAAAAAAAAAAGATTTAAATAAAATATGCCCACAAAAATCATTTCTACAACTGTATTATAGTCCAAAAAAATCAATTATTAATTAGAACTAGTATTTCAAAAAGTTATAGCACTTCAAAAAAAAAATTAAAAAGGTGGTGAGTATTTCTATCCGAACCACCCTTATTTACAGCACCAGAACAGAGCTTAAACTTAAGCATTGGCTTGCACTCGTTTCTTTGAATTATTCTTGCGCCGAACCTTCACCAAAGCTGTATCCAGTTCCTGAACACATTGATACAAGATGGATTCAATACAATATTGTGATACAACGCCCAACTTCTAAGGAAGACCGTACACTCAAACAACAGTACCTCATGTACAGCATGGATACTGTTCAGCCAGTACCATTACTAAGATTGTAGATCCCCAAATGCTCAATATACTAAAAGATTAGCATATGAGGTTCAATTTGTTGCAGTTTGCCCAACAAGAAAATATCAAAATTGAAATATTTCATCAAATACTTGGCAACTAGATATTCATCTAGCTTCTCTAATTTATCTACTGATAACAATGCAAATTTGTAAACACGGAATCCCCCCCCCCCCCCAACAAAAAAAGAAAAAAAAAAACACATACACATAGGCGTTTTTTTTTTTTTTTTTTTATAAAAAAAGGCTTTTACCCTATGAGCCTTTTTTCACAGCAGTTACCATAAGTTAAACCAGTTGAAAATAATTGAAACTATCAACCACCGTCATCTCTATACAGAAAAAATGTAAACCTGGCTAGATTCAGCAGGTGGCTTCTCCTTTGCCCAACGACTTTCCAAATCATAATAAGCTCTGGCTTTCTCATCTAATGCATGAACAATCACTGAACCTGTAATGGTAAAAGCAATACCAAAAAAATTAAAAATAATATAAATAATTTTTTTTTTCTGATATATACTCACTACTCAAAAATTAAGCTACCGAAAAAAATATAAGGGCTAAATAAAGTTAATAATATTCCGTAAAAAAAGGAAATAATAAGAAAAATCCATTCCCTACAAAGTTGCTTAATCTCTATTAGGCTAATCATAATTCAAATCTATGGTTTGGCTTTGGAAAGCTGGCTTTCTACTCTGTATTTAACAAGTCTCCATTCTAATGGAAAAGCTTCAAATGTTGAGCCACAAAATGATAATAAGAAGTTAGCTATATATGGTTCCATGTGCAAGATAGTTGGCTGGGGCAAACATAAAGTTTTATTGCCAAAGAAACAACTATCATAATCTCCAGGATTCACTAAAGCTCTGAAAAAAAAACTTAACAGCTAGCTAATTGAGAGAGTATTCAACTATTCAAATGTAATTCTCCCTCCCACTTAAGTATTAGAAGTTGTTGGTTCTAGGGACAGGGAAACATAAAGAGTTCTGAAAACTGGTTAGCAGATATGGTCAGATCACAGATGTACATCAATGGGGAATAAGCTTTATAACAATAATCATAAAATACAATGGCAAAAGAAAACATTCTAAACAACAAAAATACAAAGATGAAAGGAAGACAAAACAAATCAACCAAAAAAAAAAGGTTCTGTGATCTTCATCTGCTAGGAGATAGTTCAGAGTGTCATTTCAACAGTAATAAGCAATGGCATAAATGCATGTCCCTATTACCTATATTTAGATGTTTAAAGTTCTATGACGCCCCCAAAAGAACTACAGAAAGATCAATCTCAATCCTGCCCTTAGCATAAGGATTGAGTGTCGAGAGACGTGACATGACAACTAAATTAGATCCAAGAATAAAGTAGATCCAAGGCCAGCCATTAATTGAAGGTTTTTGAATTGATCATAAAGTTCAATTATATCAATAGTTCTATGAAGTTTTAGCCTTCAGCAACCCAATTTTCTATTAGTAAGTCATATGGAAATGAGATCTTTAAAGTGATGCTTTGAGAGGGCTTGTAAGGTCTGAACTTAGTTGAAGTTTGTGACTTGGAGTTAGAGCTGGCAATCTCTAACATGAGCTCTAACAAGACACAACCGAAACCGGCATGACACAAACATGAAATTACCGAGAGAACACACGAAGTTGACAAGACACAGAACCAACCTAAACACGACCCGTTTTGACAAATTGGTCAAATTATGCATTGATCCTACATTTTACATACTTTTTGATAGATTTTATGAGCAACATAATATGAATACAAGATCAAACACGAACACCACATGCCTTTTTTCCAGCTCTACTTGGTGTCACTAATGAGATGGCCAAGAATTATTTCATACAGCCATAATGCAAGTAACGAGTGACAATCATAATAGGTCAGACAAACAAAGCAATTACTATGATGGACAAGCAGGAACTAATAAACATTGATACAGATCACATCACAACGGACATAAAACAATTCTTTGTACACCAAGCACAGATTTATTTCCATAACTGAAGCTTGAAGGATTGATTGTTACATGAAAATAATAGCAAAACTCTCAGAATTTTTTCATATCCTAATACCCTTGAAAATCATATTAAAGTTCATAGCAATGCAGGTATATCAGTGAGACAAAGTGGATAAGAGCCTCTGCAGAGAAAGAAAAAAAACCAGAATCGACAACAATCCAATTGCCGCTTTCTTCTCCTTCCACACTTGGCAACAACATCCTCTTTGCTTCTTTCTGCTTCTGCTTAGCCTATAACAGTTATTGCAGTGTAAACATCACTTATCATACTGTAAAAGGTATGTGTTTATAATTTTATTTGCATATCACATGGTCTATGCACGAAGCAGCTAGAAACTCCACAGAGGCACAGAGATAACAAAACTAATGAAAGAGCTGAGACACAATCCACCATGATGACAATTTGACGACACGCTATTATCAGGTCTATCATTCAGATCAGAAACAGTAAGCAGTAACGTGCTGAAAGATGGTTCTTTTATA